CTTCAGTCAGTAAGGAAAGACTATATTGCAGTAACCAACTGTACCTAGAGTCGAAGCAAGACTACAAAGGTTAAGTAAGTAACTACAAGTTAGAGGTAGATGTAATGAAGTACTCACTCTTCAGTCAGTAAGGAAAGACTGAAGAGGGAGAACGCAATCTGAAGTCCTTATATACTACAGAGAAGTGTCCATGACTAATCGAAGAGTGGTTAGTCACATGTACCATAGTGCGATGAATAATACAATGACAAAAGAATTGCGACATATCGCACCATAGGATGAGTAAGAGATGAGTAAGGCATAGACCTGTCTAGACCGTTCTGGAGTAGTACGGATTGTCCTAGACAGTACCAGAAGAGTCCGGAAGCATAGCTATAGTACACGAGCAGAGAGTCCCAAATATGGTAACATACTACATAAGCGACTACAGCTAAGCGCTAGGAGACGCATAGCCTCGTGTAGTCCGGACCGGATAAGTCCAAGTTCAACAAATTCCCAGCGCCTAAGAATAGCAAATGTTCTGCTCATGCTCACTGAGCATGCTGAGATTTGTTGAGCCTAGTTTGGCTCAAGATAGAGATCATATTCCTATCACATGGTGCGCACACGTTCCTGACAATAACAGCAATATATACCTCAATTACAGTAGAGATATGTCTACTTATACTACTTACAGGACCAGGAGGAGGAGCGGTCAACAGGCGCCTAAACACGGGCGTTCGAATACTTTCCGCAACCACGAGTACAGTGCAGCTTGAACACGGTCGAAGGTCGAGATCGTCACATCAGAATACACGCGCATACTATATACGTACAAAACATGCTACAAACAACAGCCTCCCGGCAACAAACCTACATCCCAACCTATTCAGTATCGAACACCAGAACACGAACCTCAATCGACTGCCTATGCGGCGCATCCTTCGGGCTCCCCGCGTCCGCAAACGCCGTATGCGGCGTCAGCCGCGCCCTGTCCGTCTCCGAGTCGAAGCACTTGATCAGCGTCACCTCGTCAGGCGTCTGCCCGCCCAGGTAGTAAAACTCCAGCCCGGGGTCGTACCGCACGCTGTACGTGGAGCCGGTGCGGTGCGGGTAGTGCAACGCGGTCTTGACGAGGTTCGCGTGGTCGAGCGTGCGCCAGTCCGCGACCGCGAGTGGCTTGTGCGCGACGGGGTTTGCGATCGGCCGCCAGACGTTGATGATGCGCACGCGCGACTTGAGCAGCCGGTCGGCCTCGTCGGGAAGGTGGTACTTGACGCGCTCGATGGAGGCTTCGTATGTTTGGTCAATGTGGACGAGCTCCTGCAGGGGGATCAGGCGGGACTATCAGCCTTGCACCCGACGAGCCGTCAGAGCGGGTGTGCTTACAGCGGGGCCACGTCTCTTAGGGTCCCTCTGGTCTTCCGAGTTTGGGCTGCGCCTGGATGGGTACGTATGTTGGAAAAATCCTTCATTACTTTAAGGTGGTGCACTGACGTACCTAATGGTGTGGTCGAAGATGAAGACGCGCTTCGCGCCCGCAACCTCCTTCAGAAGCCTCTCGACCTCGGGGTAGTACTTCTCCTTGATGACCTCGTCGTCAACGAAGTCCTTTGCGACGCTCGGCCAGTGCACCCACTGGAAGCCGTTCTTGTCGAGGGAGAACTCGGCTTCGCGGCCACGCACGTCGTGCACAACAGCAGGGTGGGGCTCTGATCCAACATTAGTCTGGGGCTTGCCCTCGACGGCGTAGGCGTAGCGGTGCGGGGGCTCCTCATCGAGGGGCTTGTAGAAGTTCAGCGTCGTCGGGACGTCGCGAGGCGCGAGGACTGAGGCGATCGCCATTATGTCGTTTACGGTATGTGGTCTGAGATCTGGTAGTTGGATGTACGAGCGGGTTTACGCTGACGGGCTGAAGACTAGAGAACGATGACCTGGGGACTATATACTTGCCACTGACTAAGTTCTCCCATAGGTGTTCCGTACTGCGGGCCAGTGTAGAGCGCCAATGAGCCAATACGGAAGGGAGGTAGCGCAATTCACCTGTCTCCTTTGTGTATGTCCGAAAACGCTCGGGGTTTAACTGGATAGATAGGATGAATAAGCCGTTGTTCACGGGGTGCACCGTAAGGGCTGAATGTACTTATATGTATATCGTTGCAGAGATACTGCAACATCCCGAGTCTGCAATATGGCTTGCAATTCTGGACCGCTTGTTCGCACGACTAGCCTCATAGGAGACCAGCATATCTGTGAAAGGCTCAGTCGATCACGCTCGCCACGTACCGACTGCTAACACTAGTACGAAGCAGCCATAACTTCCTGTGTAGCATTTCATGCGCCCAGCATGGTGATAACCTGACACTTCTCCGACTGCTATTGCGACGACAAGCCTTAGTCAGCACTCGCACACCAACAAGTACTGCCCACTACCAGCTGATTCGAACGTAGACTTGAAGACAGAGGCCGGACGATTGCAAAGCACAGCTGAGAACGCCCCAGCCGAATATGCAATGACTCATCGAGTGG